CATCAGCGAGTGTGCGGGAGAAACTGTGAGACTATTAACAAATTACAAGGGCTGTTACTGAGAGGAACATCATCATGGCTGATCATGGCGAGTCGGTTTTCTGAGCCAGTTGTGGTGCATAGATAGGGATAGAGGAGAACGACGAGAGCATCATCATAGCGAGTCGACCGCCCAGCTTGACCCACAACCAGCTAAACCGCTTGCAGGTGGCCCAAAACCGCGCAGCAAGGGCGGTGTTCGGACTACCACGATTTACCAGGGCCAGTGACCTCTTGCAGTCTTGGAGAGACTCTCTGTTCATCGCGTGGACAAGGTATATCGCCAGAAACTGCTCGTGCTGGTATGGCGGTGCGTTCATAACCGTGCCAGTCCTGCTCTGCAGGCACTGTTTGTTCGCAACTGCCTAGCAACTCGCCTTCAGCGCAGTCTGGGCCTACAACAACCAATAGCCAGAAGGCGAGCAGGCCAATGCCGACCGGCATCTCGCGGTTGCCTGTTATGGAACCATATTACCTGACACGATGCGAGCCATGGGCAACATCCCAGCATTCCGCCGAGCTGCCATTCCCTACACGTTGTAGACTGCTACACAGTTGGCCATACATGTATTCAGTACCCACGAACTTTGCACAGCCGAGAAGCGAAATCTTCTGTTTTTTTTCTGTTCTCTTTCTGTTGTACCTGATCTCCCTCTGATGTACCGCTGACTCTACGCTGAAGATCTAAGTATTTTAATTCTCATTCTCATTTTAATTTTCATATTCGCTTTCTTGTTATTGGGTTCTATGCCCATTTGAATTTGCGAATCAAAATAAATACAAACAAACAGGCATCCACGCCCTCGGAGATGCGTTGGATGTTGTCCGGAAGAGGAAGAACCAATCGAGGTCATCAAATCGAAGAGGCCAGTCGGATGCACTGTCGTCTGTTATTGCGGACTCTTCGCCAACTTTTGTCCAAACAATTGACCTGGCAAGGGAGAGGGGAGCTTCCCGTTGGCTGACCTGTAAGCCGTTACGTCGCTATGGGTTCAACCTAACGAAAGGTGAATTCAGGGATGGGCTTGGTTTACTGTATGCCAGGGCACCCCAGCGGCTGCCGTCATCACGTGATCATGTGTATGTCACTATGTGGGGTGGCCGCCAGCTCTGTGAGCCATCTCTTATCATGCCCAGTTGGCGGTTTTCCATCGATAAGACACAACGAGATTAGAGACGTATCGGCTTCACTTTTGATTATGCAATAATGTGACCATTGAGCCTGGTTTACAACCATTAACCGGAGAGCGACTTCGCTACCGCACAGCAATCACCGAGGACCAAGTACGTCTCGATATCGGTGTCAGTGGATGGGGCTGTTAAGTGATGACGCCACAGTTCCTTCGATACGCATAGCAACGATCCCACTGGGGACAAACAAAAGTAGCGTCGTCTCCACCGAACCAGTTGTCAGTGGCAACATATAGGAATCGTGTACATTTCTTCGTTTCTTCTTTGCTGTTTTCAGTGAGTGTTTTGTTTTCTCTTTGTCCTTGATGTCGACGGTGTTGTCCTGCTCATTACCTTACTGAGACGTCTCTTGTGACTGTAGCCAGTGTCACGGAGAATTTTATTGGCGTGACAAGGTAGATCGCCGAGATCGAGCGTGAAAAACGCTCTGCATAAGTAGCTCCTGTAGAATGTTTTCTGGGATGGCGTATCGATGGTCAACAAAGCCAAGGTGCAAGACAGCATGAGAGATCGTGTTAACGATGTGAACTCCAAAAGGTAAGCTCCTGAACAGGTGGAAAGATATGTATTTTACAAACTCTCTCTTCATCCATCGATTGCCGCTATGCATTGCATTCAGTTGTCTTCACAGATAATTCTGGGCAAATATATTGTAACTGGAGAGTGCAATCGTGCTCGGGGCCCATCCCAATGTCATCACATGGCTGTGGTGACTAGTGTATACCTGGGAGATTTTTTCCTCAACTGATACGTATCGATCGATCGGAGGTGGATCGATTATGACTGAGAAATACTAAGATGTGAAGTAAGTTGTGTCGAAGAAATGTGTAATAAAATAAATTTTTCTTTACACTCAAATACACACTGTACATGTACATGTAACATTATGATAATGATTCCATCTTCATTGCCACGCAACTGGTACGCCATACGCATGAATACATGGTGTGTGTGTGCATGCGCGCTTCAGTGTCTGCTCCAGCGCCGGGTGAGCCGGGTAATCCACCCGGTTGGGCGGCGCTTGGACCCGGTTGAAAATACAGTCGTCCCTCTCTAATCCGGCACTTTATAATCCAGCACCCTCGATAAACCAGCACAATTTTCAGTAGCCAAAATGTCCTCTTCATGCACATTGCAGCAGTAAATCAGATTTGTTAATCCAGCACCCTCCCTAATCCAGCAGATTTTCGTGGCACAAATGGTGCCGGATTATAGAGGGACCACTGTATAGTACCGGGTCACCTGTGACCCAGTTGGTACTTTACACGTTCGAACTTTGAAAGGACTGACTACATGGCTTGTATGTGTGACAGATCATGCAGAGGCGCGCGTCGAATACATGTGTACCCGGCTCCGACCCGGTTGAAATGGTTGCGCCAGGTACACGTGTACCCTGCTGTCCTACAATCCTAGAGCAGACGGTGCGCTTGTGTGCGCACGTACATGCACACACTCTCATGCGTGGCCGAGTTGGCCAGATGAACAGATCATGCACTTGCACGAGGTGTCCTTCATGTCATTGGAATGCTGTACTTTATGACTTTATTCCAAAAGAGTATGTCTTGCCCCTGTCGAATGGAATTTGTGTCTCAGTGTGCTCAGCGGGTATCGGACTACGACGCCACACTGCAGTCAGCGCTGCAATTAAAAGAGCACTGCATGGATTATTTTGACTAACTTCCTTTGCGTTAACTTGGTTGAGCCCGTGGTTTCATTTCTGTGTTCTGTCATGATTGGCCCGTGGAAATAATCAGAGTGGATGTCATTTTGCCATATGTGTGTGCCTTGTGCAACAGGTTCATGGCTAGATGCACTTCACATTCGGCGTGCGATCTCAGCGTCTGGGACCTGGTCAAGTCTTGGTTGAATGAGTGATCAAGGATGATACTACTCGGCACACCAATATACATGTCAATGTAATTTTTTTACTTTTTCAGAGCTGCACTATTTACGTGTTGATGCTCACTTCGGTGTTAGCGTGTTTTCCCCGGTTTGTTTCTATCGTCATGCGTGTTCTTGGCCTGAGCGAGCACATGCACAAGTGTGCAGCTATAACGCTGTGTATCTTTGGTTACACTTTGTTCTGCAATGCATGTACCTTGTGATATTATGTGCTTGCACTGCTTTGTTTGGCCTTCATATTCCAGGACTATTCAGTGCATTAGACCCAGGTTGGTTTGGTTGCCGGATGATCTCTTGTTGCGTCGCTCTGTGTTTTGTATTCATCATTTTTTGCATTTTTGGGCTTGAAAATTGAGCTGTTGTGTGCTTCCCAATATGAAAACATCATGCTGGTGCTCTGTGTTTCGATTATCGACTGTCCGAGCAGTCATGCATTTATTAGTAGAGCGTTCAATACTGCAGTCTGTTCACGTGTTTGTGTTTTCGCCGGGGGAATTACCGGTGACGTTGTACACAGAACGGCAGTGTGGCATCACTGGACGACCCTGCCCCTGCATCTGACTTAATTTCCCCAGGATCTGGTACATGGTGCAGTTACACCCGACAGTCACTTCCTGTAAACACGCAAACAGCAAAAGAAGAGATCCCGCAAATCAGGAAAACCATTGTGGAAAATATAGGGTAGATCATACACCATTCAAATCTGGAGTAATCACAGTGAGACGAACACTTCAAACAGTGCTCTCTCTCTCTCTCTCTCTCTCTCTCTCTCTCTCTCTCTCTCTCTCTCTCTCTCTCTCTCTCCCTGTCTCCATCCTTCCAAAAATACCCTGTGACAATTCCCTAGAATTATTTTATTTTATATTCTTAGTGCATCATTCTGAGCATAATAACTTCTTCCATGGGTCTTCAATCACCACAGAAGGCGAACATATATCTAAGTCATGCAGTTACGGGAGGTGCGAGCTGTCATGGATATAGAGGCTGATATTGTGCCAGCGTGAGAGGCAGAGACAGAAAGAAGACACTGATTTCTTGAACGACTCACCTACTATATAATCGAATCCACAGGGAGCGCTCATACTTTGATCCATCAGGACGCGAGAAATCTTCAAAGCACTCCCAAACACGGAGTTTTACAGTGGGCAGCCAATTTCACAGCCATCATGAAGGCCCTCGACGACTACAGGAGATTTGTAGAGGAAAGAACAAGGAGTAAAGAGCGACAACAATCGCCTGAAGAAAAAGCAAAGAAAAACTGCTGTCTCTCCAGTCATTTAGATGCTGTTGCCCTTGACATCTGGTTCCATCCAGAGGACGCGACTTTTGTTTGTCCCCAGTGCTCTCCGTTGGTATCAATGACAATGGTATGGGTATCGAAGGAGCCGTGACGTCACACTTAACAGCCCCATTTTGGGGCAGTCGTTTCGAGCGCACATTCATTGTCATCCTGGATTGGCAAATATTGTGTACAGCAGTGCATGCGTCGGTTCAACATCGTATTTTCGTTGTATACGCCGAAGTCGCTTCACAGGTAGAAGATCGACAGGGGGGCCCGGGGGGGGGGGGGGGGGGGGGGGATTAGAGAGGGAGCGGATCAACGGTACTTTACGGCACATCTACAATATACATGTAGGTGTATGTGGAAGATACTTCATGAGGCTGCTGCAGTACACTCAATACACGTTTCTCCCCGCCACCCCCTAGTGGGACCATTGTTATTAGGCTAGGGCTTGTTTTGGACTTCCCACTCTAAATAAAGAATACAAACAATACAAACAACAAAGCACCCCCACCCCAACCCCCACCCCATGTACACGACTGGAGGATCGCTTGTCTTTATCTCAGACAACACGCCAGCAACAATGGTTTGATTAGTAGTTATAGTGGCACAGAGGATGAAACCAACACTGGTTTGATTAGTACTAGTTATAGTGGCACAGACTGGATGAAAGAGACTAAACCCAATCACGGTTCTACAGTAGATTCATTATAGCAAATTTCTCCACTTGCCACTGGCCAATCGAGGCTTATGCTAGGGAATGCAAAGAAGAGATAATTCTATAGTTAGGCAAGAGGTCAATGAAAGACAATTCTGTAGCTAAGGCCAAGTAAAAAAAAATCCTAGTTTATCGTCCCCGCCCGCCCCATTTTTCGAGGCCGCCCGGAATTTATTTTTATTTTTTAAATCTAGAATTTTGCCAAAAAGCTTGATTTTTTACGTCGGCTAAGGCTGTCCTGACTGGTTCTTTCCCTTCTGCAGCTTTCTATCATTTATCTGGTGGTCTGTGTGAACCAAACAGTATTGGGGTTTGTGTCTTATGAGTGGAGTGACAATCTGTCGATCCAAAGATTTTGCATGTAATTGTTTATGTACATATAACTGTTATAGCATTGTGTATTCCATACACTACCACTATTCTGTTGCAGATTGTTGCACATGATGTGTCATTGTTTACCAAGAACTATACTAGTCTGTAGCACATCAAAAAATAAAAAATAAAAATAAAATCCGCCCTCCCTCCCCGATTTTTGTGAAAAAAAGGACGATAAACTGGGATTTTATTTTACTTGGCCTAATCATGACATGCAATCATATCGAAATGCATACTGCAGGTTGGCGCAGTAATCCTGAATTTGATTGCTCAGACTGAGGAGAGCCAGACGCTTAAACCGGCTGATCCCTGATGCCTTGGATGTTGGATTCAAGCTGGGCCACCTGGAAATTAATTCCAGCGTTCTTCTTGATCGCATTATCCTGGGCATCCCATTTCTTCACGATGGCCAAGAAGGAGTCAGAGGCCGTCAGGAATGCGTCCTTGGTATCCTGGAGAGCATCCTCGATCTTTCCGATATTCTTCGTGGACTTGGAGACACTGCCAACTTTCAATAGGGGGCCTCGAATGGCTGAAAGAAACTCAGCGACCTTGGCATTCATTTCAGCACTGAAGAGATAACCAATATTGACTTCCACTCCGTCATCCAACTTCTTCGTCTCCGTCAGCTTTCCATCCTTGATGGCCTTGGCGATTTGGTCATTCCACGTCTTCATGTTGTTTTGTGCGTCTTGAAGAGCCTGGTTAAGCTTTTTGAGAAGTTTCTTTATTCTGTCCCCGGCTTGTGACGATTCAACAACGTTGATGACGCTTTTGATAAGTGTCTTAGCAAAGTCCACTATAGCAATAGAACGAATCACCTGCCTAAAAATTGCATTTGAACCCGCGGGAACCACGCCTTCAATAGCAGCGTCGATCGCCCCCCTGGCTGCTGCTTCTCCCGCCGCTTCAGCAGCAGCTATGGCTGCTGCTCCTTCTACTGCTGCACCTGCAGCTGCATTAGCAGCCGCTTCCGCTGCATCAGCAGCCGCTTTCACTGCTGCTTCTGCTACAGCCGCTCCTGCAACCTCAGCTGCTGCTACAGCAGCGGCCTCAGCAGCAGCCTCAGCTGCAATCTCACCAGCAATACCAACGACAATACCCATACTGGCGAGAAGAACTTTGTGTAGGTTCAAGAAGTAAAATAAGTCAAAACCAACGATGTGTGCTTTAGCATTGGACGCGTCCGCCTTTTATTCGCTGCCGTGTGTACAAAGTCCGATAAGGAACTGTGCAGCGCCCGCAGCCGTATGGCCAGTCTGTTTTCTTGGTCTTGGTCGCATCGTGACCTTCTTCAAATCAGCTATTAGCAGGGCGTACCCGGCGTCGGCTTGTGTTGCTGTGCGTGCTTTTGTGAAATCCGATCGCGCCTCATCGCGCGGACCCATCGCATTTTGATGCGGTAGTCGCTCCATCCAGTCGTCAGTTGGTAACTTTGGGCGGGCTAATGCAATACAGGTCACAGGTGTGTCGAGGTGACACCGTGACCACGTGACGGTGCACTAAAGCAGTGTTTGCGGGGTTTACGGGGTCTTTTCCGTGAGCGATCGGTTCCACATCCGGAGTCTGCTGAGCTGGTTGTTGCTGAGGCCCAGGTTGCTCGCATGTGAGAATCTATAAATTGCAGCAGATTATATTTATTATAAACTAAGGGGGGTCTGGGGTGGTCCCCCGAAAAAATTTTGAATTTAGACGGCAAATCCTGCACTCTCGATCTGGGCGACTCCCTGTACAAAATCATACTCTCCCCGGTTTTGGACGTTCCACGTGGACTGACTTTTTGGGAAGTAGGTACGGCCATGCATGGCCGTACCGGCCGTACCAGTGGCGCCGGCCCTGTGACAGAGAGCCGACGGTACGAGGTGATTTGTAATAATTTTACATGAAAGTAAAAAAGGCTATCATTCCGTTGCCCTGGCGAGTTTTGAAGTGTGCATGGTCTCATTCTGTCACTATGTATGTCCTCTATCCACGTATGTAATTCTTGATCGAATACCACAAACATGAGAGACACAGTGTGGGGTTGCTTTGCATCCATTTTTTCACCAAGAAAAAGTGTGTACAAAATTTTACAAGTCAGTAAAATAGGGTCAAACATCAACAAATATGACTTTAATGTGTCAATAAGCATGCAATGGGAAATCAAAATACATCTGAAGCAATTCACATGCAGAGAAAGCAGACTGGTTTTGCAGGTTGCCAAACGTATTGGTTTCTCTACGTCGTCAACTGCGGTTCAAAACGGTAGGGTATCTTTGACCGCCTGCCGGCATTGTAGAGCAGGAGCACGCAGACCTAATCTTGCTGCTCCATTTCTTCAACTTGCAGTGCATCCTCGTGCGTGAAATAACCACACTAAGCAAAGATACCATCCATGATGCGCGCCAGCCGTCCCACGACAGGGTGCCTTCGTACATCTGGGCCACAGTGCATTTAACCGGCACATACTGACAATGTCGGGGCTTCCATACTCTCCAAGACAAGTGCAGGCACTCCTTCACCTGATTCATATACTTCTTTGTTGGAAGAAGACTGCAGACCACCCTCAATGGGTGCTCCGCCGTCAACACCCAACATACATTCATGCCAGATTTCCTGCATTTGCACTTTGCCATCGTGAATCTCTACCAGCACTTCTGAGGTAGCAAGCTGAGTTTCATACGTAGATCTACTGAACAGCTAATTGTTCACCTGTATGCCATAAGCATCAGCAGCTTCGGACTTGGATTTGAATCACCTTTCATGATAGGTGAGTGAAAGACACCTTTTGTCAAAATTGCAGTTTCTGACCTTCACTTTTTTGGCTATCACTTCTTCAGCCCTGCTACTTTGACGGTGTGACAGACTCAATACTGGCATGGGTGACCAGCCTAGGGTTTCCACCTGCCGTAGAGTATGCTCGCTGGCTCTTGGACGTCCTTCAAGCATCCATTGAGGGATATTTTACCTCATTGACCACAAAAAAACACGAATTTCGATCCATGATTGATATCTCACAAGGCCGTGGAAGAAAACAATTCCGCTAAACGCTGCTGATACTTACAAACTACAGTACAATGGCAACTCACTTATCTGTCCAACTAACAAAAACAGTTCTTGGGAAGAATGCAACCGCCCTCAACAATGATATTTTACTCGATTTGTAAAATAATATGCCATGTAATTTTTTTACAAATCACCTCGTACACAGTGGAAAAGCGACATAACACGAGGTGTGGTGTGGCAGTTCCATTATTGAGGCCGTGACACTGAATGGCACACTAAAAAGTGACACTGAATAGCACACTAAAAAGTGACACTGAATAGCACACTAAAAAGTGACACTGAATAGCACACTAAAAAGTGACACTGAATAGCGTAACGGCGTTATTCAGTGTCACTTTTTGATATGCTACTCAGTGTCATGTTTTTAATTTATTTTGCTATTTATTGTCAAACAAGTGGCAATTAGTGATTAATAAAGGCTTTCTGCGATGCCAAGAAAACATATCTGATTGGAATACCTGGCTGGAATACCAATATCCCCAATTCCGTTCAGCGGAGGGAAAGTTGCAGGAGAAAGTGCGAACGTGGGATGGTGGTAACAGTTCCTGCAAACCAACAACCTTGCCACTTGCCACTTGGAAGGCTCCGGTTAGGAAAGGTCAAGAGAGGGAAAGGAAAGCGCAACTAACCAACGAAAATGAGCACGAGCTACTGTATGTCCCACAAAGAATGCCGAACGTTACTGGATGATGACTAAACTAAGTAAAAAGCAAGTAGTCAGGAAATTAGACCTACTGGCCATGCTACAACTCGACACACTCGGCTAAACAACAGACCGACACACTCGGCTAAACAACAGACCACCGCCCAACTTAGACTTGCCCTGTTTGGACCTTTTCTAACCTGTTACACTACAGTGTACCTTCCAAGTTAGTTGGAAGATGTTTTGGTTTGCGCCTCGTAGATGTGCTGGAGCTAGGTGTCAGGCCGTTGAATGTCTCTGTGATCCTTGTCAGTTGTATGCCATATTGTCGCACTAGTGGACTGTATATGATCTGGATACATCGGTGAAGAATTGTAGTCAGACCTCGCAACATTTGTTCTTCCTTTTATCCAGAAAAATATCATTCATACATGTAGTTATGATAATTATGGAAGAAATGATGAAAAAAGAATACTTCGAGCTAGTTTTCGCACAACACTTCTCAGGAAGCTACGTCGTACAAATGAAACAAATTCAAGAAAGGTAATAAACACCTATGAAAATGATAATATCCTTATATTCCTAGCACTATGGTGATAAAGAGGTTGGTGCGCTTCGGCGATACTTGGGGAATTGTGTGTTGCTCCGGACGTGGGAGCTTGCGCTATTCCTGCTGACTTGAATTCTCACTTGACTGACTCACGACTGCCATCGAGAGCACAGGATAAGTCCATCGAACCGTGCACGCGGAAAACCTGCACGAAAGCACCACTCCCTGCTCAATACGCAGTGTTTCGGGGAATTCACAACCGCTCATCAGTTGAGCTTGAGTAGGCTGAGGAAGTTTGTGCCTGAAGAGCACGACTTACAATAATAATAGTGCTCTCCAGGCAAAAACATCACCAGGGATACAAATTTACAGAGACGCTCCGTGTCCAGCGCGACAAACTCCTCGTGAACACCAGATAGCAGCGTGAGTCAGTGTCGCTCATGGAGGTGCTGAACAAACGCTGAGGACCGTTGGCCATTCACAACGTTGTTGCCTCCAAACCATCTTATTCGCAAGCCCGCGCCGGCGTGAAGAAGAGGTTGGTGTGTCGAAGTCGCACGAACCTCCTATTCACGTTGTTGTCCCCGGCGCGGGCTGGCAGGTGTGAGTCAGTCAAATGAGAATTCAAGTCGGCAGGAATAGCGCAAGCTCACACGTACGGAGCAACACACAATTCACTTAGGTGATAAGAGGAAAAACTGCCGAAGCAGCATCTAAGCGATATGTTGTGCAACAGTATAGTTTTGTTGACGTATAGTTCTTTTAGACGCTTTCGCAGTTTCTCCTGTTTTTAATATCACCTTAGTCCTAGGATATTATCTTTTTCATAGGTGTTTATTGAACTTTATTCTCACATCATTCCTCCTTATTAGTACCTTTCTTGAATATTTTTCATTAGTACAACACAGCTTCCTGAGGAGTTATTATTGTTATTATTCTCAATTCATGGATGACATGGTGTCAACCAATATTATGAATGAGGGCTACCAGCCATGGAATAAAAGAACAAGAAGGCAAAAATGCACACGCAAAATATGGCAAGTTAAATGAAAATGTTGTGCGAAAACTAGTTCGAAGAATTGTTTTTTTCTTTTGAACGGATTGGGAGAACTTCAAATACTAAGGATCAGTTGGAATTGTTTTTTCATTGATAGTTATAATTTTGTTTTTCTTCGGCATTCAATTTCCGCTTCGTTAATACATTTCATCGCACATATAAAATTCAAATTTGGATTGAGGTTTTGGAAACCTTTCTCTTGGTCTCAGCTCAGACGACACTTTCAATTTTCCTAACGCCAAGAATATAATTATAAGCTCCTATTTACATTGTACTCTTGCTAATGCTTGTAATTGTACAAAACATTAAACATGCCTCTAGCGTGGAGTAGAGTCTAGCCTATTGACCCAAAGATGTTTGTACACATTCTGTGTACATGTACATGTACATGTATGTTGTAAGCAATCATGAAAAGAGTGAAGGTTGGGGGGGGGGGCTGTAAGTGCACAGCACCGATCTACATGTTCAGCTTAATGCCCGGCAAAAAACAATGTTCTCTTTACAGCGGATTTTTAATGTTCCTCTTGAGCAATTGGAATCGTGTCCGCCGTACAGGAGCGTCGTTATAACAGGGATGCAACAGCAAGCAACAAGGGGAGCACATATTAGATACCTGTAGGCAAAGAATGGCCTTGAATCTAAGGCTGATAGCCATAGATAAGAATAAAAAAAATTTTTTTCACGGTTCGCGTGAGACTCGGCCAAAGGCCCAGTTTTCCGCATCCGCAGGAACGCCACCACCCTCTTGGATCAAGAATAAGATAAGAATAAGAAAGCTATCAATTTAGAAAAAACATTGTTCACAAGCTCACGAAGTAACTGACACAAATGAACAGCCACACAAAAGAAGCACACACACGCAATTTCAATGAGAGTTGCTACAATCGGAATTAGTGAAATCACAATCAGTTGTTGTGGTAAATGTAGAAGGGGAGGTTTTCTTAT